GACTTGATGATCTTAAAGGTCTTTCCCAACCCAAATCATTCTGTGATGCTAAGTGAAAGGTCCAACTAGCTTCATCGCATTAAAATGGTTGTCCACCCGTTCTATTGCATCATAACATCTTTCAAACCATTTCTACTTCTGCTATGCTTGGTCTCCTGGATTTAATATCTACGGGTATTAAAAGTGTTGTATCCATTGCAGCTCTCCTCCACTTTGTACTTATTTAGAGACGTATCTGGTACTGTATAAATACCTTAATGAATGAAAGACATTACTCCTATAAAAAAAGCACCTAGGGGAACATCTTGCTGCAGTAGTTCCCAGGTGGGAAGAGATGAGGGCAAGCGAAGGTTTAATCTTTCAAAGGAGGTTCCTTGCAGTCACATACTCATAAACACACATAACTGGATGATGTGGAGAGAAGAGTTCCTGCTGTTCCTCAGGGAAAGTGATAAGGATACAGCTCTGATGGACATGTTAATGACAAATCAAGTACTGATTTTTTTATTATTAGCGAGGAAAAGAGGAAAGGATTCTTTGGTTTAGATGAAGCCAACAAACAAATTGTATTATTTAGCTCTCCAATCAGAGCCATAAATCCAATCGTAGCCTCATAGAATTTTAAAACAATGAATTTTTTAAAGCCGCAAATGAAATGGTGCTTACCAAAGTGTTTATGCAATGAGAATTTGGAACACAGAGTCCAAGTCCACCACTCTGACATTCATCAATATCTAAGCAGACCTAGCAATAAAACAAATCAACATGTAATAAAAACAAAGTCAATTTGAGATCCAAGTCTGAAGAAAAGCCACTGACATTTAAGTCTAGAAAAGAGTCATAGCCCCTCCAAAACTACTCTCAGAATGGCACAGACATACCCATAGGCTAACTTTTCAGTGGATCTCCAGACACATATAAACCCTGAAGAGACTGTGATACAGAAAATTTCAAAATTAGGATGGACTTCTTGTTCATCCACAAGGGTTTCGACAAGAATTATGTTCCCCTTGTAGGGTGCTACAGGAACATGGAAAAAATGACTGTAAAATAGGCTTTTTCTGTCATACTCTTCCTAGTTCAAAGCCAGTTTACAGAAGTCAGCAGAGCTCCCTTTAAAATTGATCAGAGATACCTATGAAGATAATAACATTTTTTCTTGTCGCCATACCAGTCCTGAGTATTAGACTATTAATATTTCCATTAAAGCCAAGCAAACGCAACTCAGATCTTCTAATTGAAACCCTCTGAGCTCTGCCTAACTGCACAAGGCAATTATGGAATGACTTAAGTATAAATAAAATGTAACACAGATGCATTGATATAAACCAGTACCTTGCAATGACAGTTGCTGCAGGGATGCTGCCACTCACCTGCTTATTGCTCTTGGCATAGCTGAGTCCTATCCCTTGCACAGTTTGTCCTGTATATCCTGGGGGACAGGTCTCGCACTGGAAACCTGGAACAGTGTTCACACATCGCACACCAGGGAAGCAAGGGTTGTAACGACACTGCAAAGAAGAAAATGAACCGAGCACATGTTTGTGCTTCAGTAACATCCAGACTCTGAATATTTGCATAGATTCTCAGTCAAAGGCACTGCTACATGCAATGTCTGTATGTCTTCAGTTCAGAGTTGGGTGACAGAGGAAACAGTGTCTGCAGGTATTTCTGACTCCAGTAGGTCTTTGGCTATCTGTAATTTAAGTAACATTTGCAGTCTTCCATTATAACCTGTAGTTGATGCCATAAGCTCTGATCAAAGCAATTCTTCCTTTTGCTGGGCAGGCTCAGCTCCCTCAGAGGCTGAGACACCCCTGGAAGAGTCCAGACCACAGTATCAGGAAAGCTGCATAACTCCAACCCACCAAATGGTCCTGCAGTTGTGTTTTGTACACACAGAAGTGGCAGCAGAATTTCCCCTCATTTATATTTGGGCAAATCTCATGGCCAGAAGTAATGCAAACGTGAGCCAGATGAGCAGGTATGTGTCAGTGGCACACACATTTCTAGAATGGAGGACCACAAACACCCCCCAGCACTTCTCCCAAAATACCACATGCCCACAGCATCACCCTTGGCCTGAAGGCACCATTTGCTTCAGTGCCTCATGCGGTTTTGAAGAACAGCTGTGACTCATTTCACTGTCCTTGTGGGTGCCAGTTTAGGAACCACATCCCCCATTGCTGCCTCTCCAACATCAATACTAGCTGCTAGGTAATATTTGTAAGGGTACTGGAAACATCAACAAGTCATCATGCTGCATATGGCTCAAAGACAAGAATAAATAAGAAACATGAGAAAGAAATATAAAACCATTTTTAAAATATGCCTCCCCCCCCCTCCATTGCTAACAGAAAAACATCTGCAAGATGGAGGGAGAACAAGCCAGAAGATATCCACCTACAACAAACATACAACTTGTAACCAAACACACACACAAGGGAGCAAGAAAAGGTGCGTTTAATTTCAATAGCGTTTGACAAAGATTTGTTAGAAGTAGGTCCACAACTAGCATAAGGAAAATGTAAAACCTAGGACAGACATTTTGTGCTCCTGATTTGCTGTGGCTTTTTTATTGTAGGCAGCAGAGGGCACTCAAATTACACTGTACATACAGCAGAGCTGCAGCTCCCAAGATACAGGGCATCAACATATGAAAGTAACATCTTCAAACTGGTAATGAATAAGGGAGCATATTGCAGAGATGCTAACAGCCTCAGAAAAAATGGTAGCTTTTAGTGAGGAAGCTTCTATTTTGTCTTTATCAGAATTTGTATGCTAGCTCCTTTTTAAATACCAGTTACTAGGTAGTACAGAAATAGTTTATTCAGTTGAAAGGTGCTCTCCCAGAAGAGATTCATAGACTTTTCAAAAAAAAAAAAAAAAAAAAATATCACTTCTTAGTCTCAGCTAACTCAGGAAAACAAATAATATGACACATCCCCTCTTATTAGACAATGAAAAGCTACTGCAATTTATTATTTCTTTTTTTTTCCCCCTGCCCAAATATAAGTGGAAATCCAGCCTTTAAAGGAGATATTTACTGGTGAACAAAACTGCACCAGACTAGTCGGTATTTTAGTAGCAGTGTTCACATAAAGACCTCATATAAGCAAGACACTACCTCCATGATACCGTTTTGGCAAAATTTCCTTGCTGTTTCTATGTGAGCTCAGGTCTGCCATGTGGAGTGGTGGCAGGAACATAAAGGCATGTCAATCTCCAGTGGCAGAGCCTGACTGCTCACAGAAAATCACGTTAACGTTGGGAGACTACAGACCAGTCTCGGTTTGTGTTCCCCCTGCTGCTGTCATGTGTAGAGTTGCTCCAACCCTGAAAACGGCAGGGAGGAGATTATTGGCATGCTCTGCCTCAGTGGGGGTATGGCTTAGGAGGTGGAACCCATCCGTACTGGCGGGCTCTACCTAGGCTGGCTTGAGTATCTCACCATGGTTGCCTGTGGCATGAAAATTGCACCACAGCTGTCTCAGCTTCACCTCTTGCATTCACATTTCAGAGTTTCACCTCCATTTTTTGCACCTTCTGTTGCAGCAGACACAGTCCTTGCCATGTGAGGCAAAACAAAAGACACCGCCTACAGCTCAGGAAACTGCCACTCAACTCACTTTCTCTCCCCAGTGTTTTTTTTTCACTGACAGATATAAATGGGGCACATTGCATCCTCTCTGCTGCTGGTCTGCAGGAGGGGGTAAACCGAAAGAGCAGTCAAAGCACATCTGTTGGCTAGGAAGGAGAAAAAAGGAATTGCTTTTGCTGTTTTACATTATTAGGCAGATATGGTGGTAGTACTGTGTTATCCACAAGCACAGTTAATGACCTAATTCTCCTGGTTCCCTGGTCTATCACATCCAGATGCTTTTCCACAAAAATCACTAAAGAGCAGTGGCAAAAATCATCACACAGAAAAAATGTGGTTAAGCTGTAAGTGGTTTTGTTGTTTGTGTTCTGAGTAAGTGTCACGTTCCAATTAACAAAGGTTTTATTTAGTTGTTTAAGATATTATAAATTTATTAACTCAATCCTCAATACAAGCAAGCTCTGAATTTCTAACATATAGCACAAGAAAAAAAAAAAGATTTAAGTCAGCATTATCAGCTTTCAACACAACCATAAAGAAGCAAAAGGAACAATAACAATAAATGTTTACTTTCTTTCATAGACTTTGAAGGTAAGGCTGAAAACATGGCTCCAGTTTGGGTTGAAGAGAAGACTTTGGTCTCCAAGGCTGGTTCAGGACCACTACAATTTAAAGAAACAAAGCCCATATTGACAAGAAGTGCTTCTGCAGTTCTGCCCATAACAGAAGCTACTGCATCTTCTTGTAGAACAGAAACAACTACATCAAAAACTTGTTTTGGTTGGTTTGGGTTTGTTTGGGTTTTTGGGGTTGTGTGGGTTGTTTTTTTTTCTCCAAACATTAAAGTCCTTTAAGTGACTTCTAAACTCACCAGGGTATTTCAAGTTTTCACACATAAAACCTCCATAAAGTTGCAGCAACAGCAAAATAGGGAGGTAGAATCAAATCAGAATGAATTAATATTCACTGTACAAGCAGTCAAGAAATGCTGAAGGCAGCAAGCATCAGCAACCCATTAGTATTTATGAAACAGTTGCTTTTTAGCTTTATTTTTTCCTTTTTTTTTTTTTTAATTCAGTGAAAGTCACTATTTTACCTCATCGATATCTGAGCAGGTAACTCCATTTCCCGTGAGCCCTTCAGGGCAGGGGCCGCACTGAAATCCCTCTGCTGTGTCCACACACCTGACTCCCCTGAAGCAGGAATTAACTTCACATCTGGGTTTACTGCGCCTAGGAAGCTGAGTTGGAAAATTCACAGCTCCCAAACCTTTAATGCAGAAAGAACAACAGTTTCAGCAATTGAAAGAAACATCCATCATGGCTTTCAGCTGGAAAGCGCTCTGAAGAGATCCCCAAGATGCTGCACAGCGGGGGCTTTGTGTTTCTGGCGCACTGCTACCAGCTGTGCTGTGGCTGCAGAGACTTCATGCTGGGAATGGCCCAACAGCTTGCTGTGTCCCCAGACAGGGGAAATTAAAGCTATTTTGTTAGGTCCACGTACTTCTGCTGGCTACACATGGAAGCCCTCCTGCTAGGTTAGTCCCAGCACAAATCTGCTGCTGGCCAGGGAAGGAAACTCTGAAAGCCAGTGACTTCAGATGGCCTCAGGGACCCAAGTGTGATGGTACAAGGCATTTCTCTGGCTAAATTGGCAACAGCACCACTTCATAAGAAAAACAGTGCTATGGTTTCGCAAGAGCATATCTGACAGTCTACAAGTAAGAGGAATAAAGCAGCAGCAGCTGGCAGCCCACAAACACACAGCAGGAGATGCAAGGAAACTGGTTTAGGTACACACAGACCGACCTTGGGAAAAATGAGGTTTTTTGGGACTCTGGCAGGTGCTGAACCTTGGTACTGACATATGCAGGATTTAAAGACTTTTTCTTTGGCACTTACACATAAAGGTTAGCCTGTCCGGAGCTCAACTTGAGCTTTGATGAGGCTGACAGACTGGGAGAAGAAATCAACTGAAAGGCTTGATGAATTTAAGGCCTTTCACCCCACCCAGTGAGGGAGTACTTTGGTTTTTATACTGAGTGCATGTGTGCACTGATTGTCAGCTGTGCAGGAGGGCCATGCAGTGGCATTTGGGAAAGCATGAGCTTCTTCCATTTAGTGAAAAGATGGAGACCACCCTTAGGTGGTCTTTACTGCTGTTAACCAGTGACTACCTACTCAGAATCAGATGGCTTTCAGGTGGACTGCATAGCACCTTACTCAGACTGACAATACCAGCTAAAGCAGAACATGGTTCCTTCCTTGTCCCTCAACTAAGATTGTCAGTGAGATTGTTCATTGCCCGGCTGGCAACGTCCCTCTCCCCAGGAACATCTGGCACAGCTTTGTGGCAGAGCGAGAACTGCCAGTACAGGGCGAGTGGTACTGCTTGGTTTAGTGGGGCTTTATCCCCCAATTGTCAGGTGTTTGTCAGGTCTACGGAAACTGAAAGCTTTTTCTCTAATGAAAATACAATTTAAATTTGTGTCCAATACATCTATAACTTTGTATACAGTATTTTTTAAGAAGTACTTCTTAGAAACCACATAAAGCTGATACAATCAATGCTAGTTTTAAAACAACTGTACATCTCATCTGGTTGCCTTTTACAGGCAATAACAGGAATACTTACCACATGCTTGGCACTCAGCTATGGTATTTCTCAGAAAAGTTGTTTCTTTGACCTTGAGGATATAGAAAATAAACTTTATTTGGATACAGGCAGCTCCAGGTTGCACCTGGTTGCCAGAAAAACCATTATAATTTTCCCCAAGATGCCACTCAAACCATGCAACATAGGTACTCTCTTGAAATTAGATATTCTTTGCATTCCATAAAATTAAGGACAGTGATAATGGTTGTACTTCAGGTCAGCCTTCATCAACAGGACCTTTAAGAAGGACATGCTTAACAAAATCAGCAGTTCCAGTTCTGACACTCACCAGCACATGGAAGAAATGCAATTTCTGTTCTGTGCAACAAACCTGCCTCTATCTAACAGTGGGCTAGGATGGCTACGCTTGTTCCTCTCCACTTAAGACACTAGATTTTATGGATCTGAATAAGCAAGTCCCCTACACTCCCACATTCATTGATCCTCCATAGCAACCACAGGGTACCAGGACCTATATGGTTACTTCTTTATTGTGCCTCTGAGGCAATGAACTTTACACTGGAGTTTATTGTTTATGTGAATTCTGCCCCGACTCTATAAAAAGTGGCCATCTTGGAATATTTCACATTGAAGCCTTTATACAGTACCTGTTGTCTGAGAAGGTCTTTCACATCTCCCAGTATTTGGTTCATCTGGATCATCTGACTCATCAGCTGCCTATTAAAATCACCTGCAGGGAAACAGCAGCAAAAAAAGAGTGCACAATGCATATAACTCTCCTTCATTTGCCATCATAATTTCTAAGATTCAAGATTGAAACACTGTGAAGAGCCATGAAGGGCAGACATTACTGTTACTTAAGCCATGGAGGAATCCTTAGAGCAAACACAGTATCTAGCTCCAATTTTTATAGTGATTTGCATGAACTCAAGGCTCTTTGGACTGAACTCCACTGGGTACCACAGAAACAGGCAAAACAGAATCCTCTCCACAGAGAGAAAAGCGGTCTGTGATTTTTCTACCATCATTTCAGTGTCAAGGCTCTCCAGTAGGACCTAATAACACTGGCAACTAATGCTACCAGTACCACCGGTTCCCCCCAGGCCTGAGACCAGCAACCCTAAGTGAAACCTTAGGATTTGAAGACTGGGTTTTTGTGATAACCCATTTGGGACAGGAGGGAAAGGTGGGGGCACTAAGTATCTGTGCATACGATGGAAAGTCACCTTCTGTAAATGTATTCCATGTCACTACAACCGATTCCTGCACACATTACAGGGTGAAGTTACCCAGCTTTCTGAGCAAGCTCACTGTGCAGCTCTGACCATGCATCAAGAGTACCTGCTCTGACAAAAACAGTGCTTTTAATACCTGTGACAGTCATTTGGCTTTTCTTCCAAGGCAGCTTATCACACTGTACACAAGTTTCATTTGCTTCTGGGGGGTGCAGAGTTTGTGTGGACTCACAGAACATCTACTCAACACACTATGAACTCACAGCAAAGCCAGTTCTCAACAGCAAGTGACAAATTAAAGACCTCTAAGACAAGACCAAAAACTTACATCTCTAATGAGCCACAGGGAAGGACCAGAACCAACCCAAGATCTTCACATGAGACTCTTATTGGTTAAACAAAACATTAGTTTTGATCCAGTGACAGACATGAAGCGAGAGAGCATGTTTAGCACAGTAGCTCATAGTAGTTCCTGTTTGTAGCTCTCTGGAGCAGCTATTTGTTTACTTCTCTAAGTCTGTATGTCAAAACAAATTTCACAAATATATGCTCTTTTACATTCTATGCAGGCAGGGTATTTTGATATTATGTCCAATGGCTTTGGGGAGGTTTATTCATGCGTTACTTTTGTAAGTATTGAAAGCTTATATGAAAAATGCTTTTCTTAATATTTACCTCATTGCTTTGTACTTCAAAGCATGTCTAACTGTTTCCAAACATTCTAGTGGGAGTCATCCAACTCCTCACATACTACGTTTTCTTCATTTCAGATTTTCTCATCAAAACACTGAACAAGTTTAAAGACTTGGGAACCACCTGCCTCCTTTCTATTCCCAACCTTGTCTTATTTTTATTTGGGAGGAAGGCAGCAGGACTTAATATCATGGGTATTTCGGAATCCCATAGTGAAACTTGGCATGCAGGCTGTTGGGACAGATGCTGGGGTCTGTTCTTGTTTTGCTTGGGTTTTTTAAACAAAGAATGGTTTAGGCATTATTGATTGAGACTTGCAAAAAAAAAAAATCTCAAGATTTCAGATACTGTTTGTTGGCTAGCATCTAAATCAAAACCAGATCTATTCTGTACAGTTAGGTTTTGCAGACTGTTAAATTTTAAGGTGGACTAAACAGGTTATACTGCCATGAACTACATGTCCTCTTTGCAAATTTAGACTGCAGAGCAGAAACAGGTGATTTCCCATAGGTTTGTGGTTTGTTTTGTGGATTTTTTTCTCTTCCATTTAAAGCCAAGTCCCACAGTAGGCCCTGCCTGCAACTGAATGACCAGTAATCAGTGATAAGATCTCAGAGAGACCTTTCAGGGAGCTGTTGGTCCACAGTATATTGTGGGGTGGCTTTTCCCTGGAGTGAGCAGGGTAAGCAAAAGGTACAGCCTGAAGCTATACAGCTATCCGGTCCTACCATGTAGTCTCTCATCCATACTCCACCTACTGAGGCAACTCCACAGTTCAGCTAGTCCCTAGCTCTATACTCTGAGTCAGTAAAAGTCCAAGTAACAAAATGGCTTTCACAGCAATAATTAAATTCAGAGAGAGTTCTGAAGAACTACTGTCCAACAGGGAACTGAAGTCCCTTGACATGCTTATTGCCTGTAAGCCTGAGGTCATGTCAAGGAGCTACCTTGTCTTTCTTTTCCCAAGACCTTGTGGTATAGAATTATAGCATGGTTTGGATTGGAAGAGGCACTTAAGGATTATCTAGTCCAACCTCCTTACCATGGCAGGGACATGTTTCACTAGGTCAGGTTGCTCAAAGCCCCACCTAACCTGACTTTGAACACTTCCAGTGAAGGGACATCCACAACTTCTCTGGGCAACATGTTCCAGTACAGAGCCCTGGACTTAGAGCAGGTGACCAGCTTTGTTGCACAGCCCAGGCAGGGCAAACACACAAACACTACCTTGTGTAATTGCAGGTCACTGTGAAATGCCTCATAGAAACTTCTTCTAGCTCTCTTAGGAGCAATACTGGCTCAAGCACCCCACTTGTCCCCATCCAACAAAGCCAAAGCCAGAGTCCTGAAGTATCATTCAAAGAGATTGTGGTTACTTGGCCAGAGATCCAACCAAAGTATGGGTGATGGGGGACAAGTGAAATGCCTGTCAGCCTATAATCTTCCACCAAAGAAGCTGCATATGCAAGTTGCACATGGAATTACAAAGAGACAGGTTCAAAGTAAACAGGAGATATCTCCTCTGACATGGGATTGACTTCTTGCCAGGAGACATTCTTGATCATATATTCAAAACTGACTGGACAGATTCACGGAAGGACATGTATATTGAGTACAAAACACAAAGACTCCAGCTTTGAGTTGAGAGCTCTGCATACAATGAACTGCTGGAGAATAGGAAAACTTTCAGGGAAAACCACACTATAACTCCACTGCCTTATACTTTTGCCCTTGGGTCTATATTGGCATACTGTCTCTAACAGTAGCAAGGTTAAAAGAACCTTTGGTCTGGTGCAAGACAGCTATTTTTTTACACTATGTCAGGTTCAGGTACTCTACATGATCCAGATGATGTCCAAACATCCCTTCTGACCTGAATGACTTTGTGATGATTACACGCAGCATACTAATCTCATCTACCAAACTCAGCACACCTTGTATTGCATTTTCCTACCCATACAGGAAGATTGAAATACACATGTTCAACCTCTGGCTGATCATCATATTCTCAACTACACTTCTTAGGTGTCTCCGCCTCACTGACTGAGCATGGAGGAAATGCTGCTGTCATAGCAGTGAGCAGTGACCAGGCACGCAGTCAAAGCCGTATACAGTTATTCAGGTCCAAAGCTCTCCCAAGGATTTTCCAATTAATATGGAAAACACATGCTTTTACCAAGATACATAGGTCTCACACACCCATACAGCTAAGCATTTGCATTCCAGCTTTTTCTGGATGAAGGCAAAATTGTGGTTATCTGATATATTGCTGTTATAACAGGATGTCCTGAAGCACATACAAAGTGGAAGGCAGCTGAGTTAATATTGCTGTTGGAACATTTGCACCTTTTCCTTTGGTGGATTTGACTATGTAGACTTTGGATATATTGATGTGAGCTGTTTTATTATTATTAATATGATATTAATTCCACTTGAAGGTTATAAGCAACTGAACTTGAGAGGGTCAGCCAGGTGGAGGCAGCCAGGGAGAGACAGTATCTCTGTCTGTATTATTACCATTTGTATTATTGATTAATGAGCAAAAAGTTACAAGTGAGAAAGCCGCAAGTCTGCAATCTGGAAACCTCGCTCAGAGAGCTGTGAGTTTTTCCAGGAGGAAACGCTGAATTACCCTTCTCTTCTGTGTGCAACTGCCC